AACCATTTTATGAATCTTCAAAATAAGATTAACGCATTGTAATGGATTTCAGGGATTATGGTATGAAAGACCAATAAGCACTAGGGAACTGAATCAAGAATGTCCAGACTTCTCTCCATGAGGACCTTTACTGCCCATATAGAAAGAAGGCTGTAGTTTCATCAGCCAAGCTGAATTTGACACATCCTCCCAGAGAACAGAAGCCAATGCTGAATCCGCTGCACCACCCAACTGCTAACAGCAGCACCAGTGACGTGTAAGGTATTCTGCATCTGGACTACTGTGTACAGTACTGGTCATCTTATTTAAAGAAAGATTTCATTACATTGGAGGCAGTTCAGAGAGGCTTTACTAGACTAATATCTGGATTGAAGATGTTGTCTTATGAGGGAACGTTGGACGGCCTAAACTTTTATTTGCTGCAGTTTAGGAAAAGTCAGAAGTAACATGACACCAGGTTATAGTCCACAGGTTCATTTGAAATCACTAGCTTTCAGAGTGTTGCTTCTTCGTCAGGTGAAGTGATGTCCAACACTGGCATCTCCACATCACGGTTTAAAAAAGTAAGAGGTGACTTAATTGAAAACTGAAAATCCTGAGGGGTCTTGACAGGATAGATGTGAAAAGGATGTTTCTTTTTATGAGAAAATCTGGAACTAGGGGTCGCCTTTTAAAACAGACAGTTTAAAATAGAGATAAGGCAAAATCCTTTCTCTCAAAGAGTCACAAGTCTTTGGGACTGTTCCTGAAAAGGTGGTGCAAGCAAAGTCCTTGATTATTTTTAAGGTAGAAATAGATGATTCTTGCTAATCACGGAATGTTGATCTGTTGTTACGGCCAGATCAACCCTGACTATTGGATGTCGGAGTGAACTAGAGGGGCAGAATGACCTGTTACTTCTAATTAGTATGTTTGTATTTCATGTAAAACTTTTTTGTGTTTGCACAGGATACAGAAGAATATGCTCATGGACCTCACCAAAGATATCATGAATGAACTGGGTATCTCCGTTGTTGGAGATATTATTGCTATTCTCAAACACGCCAAAGTGGTGTACAAACAGGTGAAGATTGGCAAGATATTGCCTTAATTAAGCAGCGTCTATATGTTTCTTGTTTAATAATTGTGATATAAACAATTTAAAATAACTGTTTTAATATTTGACTTGAATTTCAAATTTGAATTTAAGTAATAGTTTGAGGTGTATTTAATCTAACGTTACACGCCATCCCATTAAATATTTTTGACTGTATTACCTACTAGTAGACACAAATGATAAAAAAAATTAAGGTATTCAATAAATACATGGCGTAATGAAGCCTCAATATAAGTTTATACTCCTGTCAGTAGTTCAGCCTGCAACATTTCATATTTCAAGTTCATTTCTACTATTTGCCATTCAACTTGCAATAGGCAATAACAAAAATAATTTTTGAGCAAACTCACTTTGGTACAGCATTAATCTACATAAAGCTTTGCGCTGAGTATATTTTCCAAATTACTTATTGGCAAGTTTCACTGCTGCTGTATCTGTCTCTGATTTGAGGAGATGGATGTAGTTCAATAAAGAAATTAATGTATAGAAGAATCCTTTCAGTGTGACCACTAGTTAGTAAAATCAATGCGTAAGACCATTGTTTATATGGCATTGTATCTGTAATGCAAATGGAGACTGGACATTTTGTACCGAGATTTCCTGTCCTAGTGGATTAGTACATGGAGCATCTGAGTAGATGGAATATCTAATTCAAATATGAAGTACTGCAGCAAATGATGAGAAAGAAATGGAGTTAATGTTTCAGGTTTATTACTTTTTGTGAGAAGTGGGAAAAGTTAGAATTTTAATAAATCCTAAACAATCTAAAGGGAGAATGATGATAAAAGCACAAAATGTTAATTTTGTCATAGGCTGGAGAACAGGAGAGATTAAATGACAAAGTATTTGGTGATGTTAAGCCAAAGGGAAGGATAATGGAACATGTGAAAAAATAAAAGATGTCTCCAGAGGATACGTGAATGGCAGAATAGTGAACAGCTGCTGTTTATAAGCTAAAACAAGAGAAAGGACATAGTGAAGTCGAAGCCAACTAACATTAAGAAAACAAAACTGGGCAGAGATTCCAATTAATATTGTTGAATTCATTCTTGGATATTGAAGGCTATAAAATGCCTAGTTGAGAGATAACTTTCTTTTTCTATAATTTGCCTTAAGCTTCATTGGAACCTTGCAGGAGGCAAAGGGCTGAGAGATGATGTAGGAGCAAAATGAAGAATTAAAATAGCATACCACCAGCAGCTTGTGTTCGTGACCTGAATAGAGGTGCTCTGCAAAACAATGTTACAATCTGCACTTGGTCTCCCCATTGTAGAACAGAGTACGTTTTGAGCAGCAAATGCGAAGTAATTGCTTCTTCATGGGCGAGGAGTGTTTGGGATCTTGGACAGTGAGAAGAAAGGAGGTAAAAAGGGTGATGTTAAATTTCCTGAACTTGCATGGAAAGGTGATGTGGGAAAAAGATTGGGCTTTTGGGGTACTTGAAGAATGAACCAGGATATGCAGAGGTAACAGTCCCTTTGGAGTGCTGAAAGGGGAGAAATGTATTTGGTGATGGAAATGGTGAAGGATGAATTGAATATGAAAGCTGGTGAGGGCAAAGGGACCCATATCACAGTTATGGAAAGGAGGGGAAGATGTAAGAGCAGAACTGTGCTAAATGGGTTAGATACTGTCAAGGGCCCTGTCAGCTCAATGGTGAGGGAATCCAATGTTGAGGAACAAATATTGTTTTGAGTTGTTAATTTAGACCTTTTTGTAAGATCTGTACAGTACCCAATTTGTTCTTATTTGAGACCGTGGGCATAAAGGGGGAAACAAATTACTTGGAGCATTTAACAAATACATTCAACATAAAAGCATTTAATTAAAACCCTGTATACTTAGATTATGATAAAGGTACAACAGTTATTAACATTGGTGAGCAATGCAGAATGAAAGAAAGGTTCTATAAAACTGCAAAATTTATAAAAGACCAAATTTTCACTGAAGCAAGATTGGGACCACTATATTCTATGGCGGGAAAAGGGATCAAGTCCATGAGAAGGGCTGTTTCAGGATTTTTAATTTCTATCACCTAATGAACATATACTGGTGGGGTGCCTGTTAGGACAGAGGCTTGGAACTGAAAGCCAAAAACCAAAATTAATCCCAAAGAAAAATAGCCCCTTTTATAATGCATATTCAATCATCTGTTAGTCCAAATGTACTTTTTAAATAAGCATTTAACTTAATTCTATTTCAACTTTTTCCATAGCATTAATATAGTACACTAGATACCATTCACCCTCCACTGGTACATATTTGCACAGTGAGCTCAGCAAACATTAACTTTGTGTACAAGGACATTATATCTTTCTACAACTGATGTTTGCTAGTCGCTCACCTTTTTGTCTGATCAAGCTGGATAACCTCACATTTCCCCACAAGTTGGTGTAAACAGGCTTAAGATTCAAGGATTAGTGAGTCATTTACCATTTGTTATTGAGGATTGGTTAATAGACAGAAAGCAACAAGTCAAGAAATGGGTCACTTTCAGGTGACACAGTGCAACTAGCAGAATGTTGTGATGATGAGTGCTCGGGTGTCAGCTATTTACAAACGGTAGCAGTGAGAGGACTGAGTGTAATATGTAGAAGTTGGCTGCTGACACCAAGCTGGAGATGAAAATAAGCTGTGAGGAGAACGCAAAGACAATGTACGTTATATGAGTGGGCAGAAGATGGCAGATATGGTTTAATTTGGAGGAATGTGAAATTGCCCACTTTGGTAGAATTAAAGAGATTAAATATGACAGTCTAGTAAATGTTGATATAAAACAAGATTTGCATGGCTTGTACATAAATCACAGAAAGTTAACATGCAGGCAGAGTAAACAATGAGGAAGGCAACTGGTATGCATTGCAAGGAATTTGATATACTTTACACTGAGTCAAAATGTCTTGCTGCAATTCTATAGGGTTGTTTTGTATGTCCACAACAATAAGTATCATGTCCAGTTTTGATTTCCACACATGACGAGTATATACTTGTCCTAAAGGTAGAATAAAGGCAGTTCATTAGATTGATGAGAGGGTTATTCCGTGTGGAGAGATGGAATAAAATGGGCTTTTATTCTCTGGAGTTTAAAACGAGCAACCCTAACCCGAACCCTCCTGTTTACATGCTTTTGTGAGCCAAATGCATGGATTCCTTGGTTCCATTTATCATATTTGATCAAATTTATCTTGAGGCTTTATTTTCCTGTAGAATTGTATAGCATAGGAGGAGGCCATTCAACCCATTGTGTCTCTGTCAATTCTTTGATAGACCTTTCCAAATAGTCTAACTTGTCCTGTTCTTTCCCCACAATAATTGAAATGTTTCTCTGTCAACTTTATGTTGAATTTGCACTTGAAATCTGTTTCTAAAACTACTGCATAATCCTCATTTCCCCTCTAGTTTTTGTATCATAAGATTGAAACTTTTTTTTTCTGGTTACTGCCTCTTCCTGCCACTGCAAACTGTTTCTCCTCGCTCTTCTCGAAGAGACCCATTGTTTTGAATCTCCTCTTAACCGTCTCTGTTCCAAGGGGTTAAGTCCCATCTTAGCCTTAGGAGCATGGGATAAGCCATTCAGTTCCTCAAGCCTGCTCTGCCATTCATGGCTGATCACCTAACTCTGTCATTTTCCCCATCGTTAATTTTAGAATCACTACTGTGTGGAAGCAGGCCATTCAGCCCATTGAGTCCACGCCACTTCTCTGAAGACCATCCCATCCAGATCCAGCCCCCTACCCTAACTGTGTGTTTCCCATGGCTAATCTACCAGCCTCCACAATCCTGGACACTATGGGGCAATTGAGAATGGTCAATCCACCTAAGCTGCACATCTTTGGACTGTGGGAGGAAACCCACACAGACATGGGGAGAATGTGCAAACTCTGCGCAGACAGTCACCTGAGGCTGGAATTGATCCCAGATCCCTGGCGCTGTGAGGCAACGGTGCTAACCACTGAGCCACTGTGCCCACCTTTAGTATCGAGGAATCTGTTGATTTCTGTCTTGAACACATTTAACCCACAACCCTTTGAGGTCCAGAATTCCAAAGTTTCACCACTTTCTAAGTGAAGGAATTACTCCTCATCCCAGTACTAAATGGCCTTCCTCTTATTCTGAGAGTGTATCTCTCTACACAACTGAAGTCCCCCGTCCAACTCCACAAATGTATATTTCATGTGTTTATCACTGTGCCACTCACTCCATGTCAATGTAAGCCCAATGGGAAACTAGAAAGTAAAATCTCCAGAAAGCAGACAGGTTGGTGAATTAACAGTGTAAGAAAATTGTTGAGGTTGTAAAGGGTTATTTAATCACAGTGGGAAAATTTAAGTCTGGCGTCAAGAGGTTTTTCCACGAAGAGAGATCAACACTTGGAATACATTTCTGGCTGTGACTGTGGAGACAAAAATCTTGGAATAATTTCAGAAATATTCGATAGGACTGTGGATTATTTCCGGATGGAGAAGCTAGTTGCGGCCCAAATGGGATCCTTCTTCCCTAGTCGTTTTCTGTAATGGTGTGAAACGCCTGAGATTGGCCACTTTAAGTAGGCTACACATCAGTGAAGCACTCATTTTAAATGTCTCTGCATCAAATGAGAACCTGACACTGCATTTAGAAGTGGAGCTGCAGCAATTTGCACTGGGAGTTATTCACTGCCAATATGGACCACACAGCTTCTTTAATGAACATACATTGAATTCTTATAAAATATTTAGTGCTGTTGGCAGAAGTCCAGAAGGCCGTTTTAGATTTGGAAACCTTTGTTGAGGAGCCAAGGTCCGTAGAACAGGACGCTATCAATGTTGAAGAGGCTTGTGATTGAGAAAACAAAATGACTTGCGTAGTAATGTATTAAACAGCATAAAGCTTTCCTCTATCTTTTAATGACCAGCTACCTACTGACATAGGTAACTACTGAAAGAAAGAAACTCAGACTTTAAGAGCACTTTAAAATTAACACTTTGACTGAATAGTTTGCCATGCTGCCCCCTGAAAACCCTGAATTTCTTAGCACTCTTAATGAACATTATAAAGCTTTTGTAAGATGGTGTTTGGAGATCACTGTACACTTTTGGTCTCCTTACCTAAGGAATAAAGTACTTAGAATGCAACTGAGAGCTTGATTCATTTCTGAAATTAGATTTCTGCGCTACCAGGAGAGATTGAGCAGAGTGCTGTGAAGTCTCGAAGAATGGGAGGTATTCTCATCAAAACACAAACATCTAGAGAGCTGGACTGCAAAGTTGCTGAAAGGTTGCTTTCCCTCCTCCCCCACCCCAGAAAAGCTAGAACTGGGGGGGGTCATTATTCTCAGAATAATTGGGGAGGTGATGGCCTAGTGGTATTATCACTGGACTATTAACGCAGAGACCCAGATAATGTTCTGGGGACCCGGGTTCGAATCCCACCACAGCAGATTGTGGAATTTGAATTCAATGAAATATCTGGAATTAAGAGTCTAATGATGACCATTGTTGATTGTTAGCAAAACCCATCTGGTTCATTAATGTCCTTTAGGAAAGGAAATTGCTGACCTTACCTAGTCTGGCATACATGTGACTCCAGACCCACAGCAATGTGGTTGAAGCTTAACTGCCCTTGGTGCAACCAGAACTGGGCAATAAATGCTGCCTGGCCAGCAACACCCTCATTCTATGAATGAATAAAGAAAGAAAAAGATATCGACTGTTTAGGACTGAAATGAGGTGAGGTCTCTTCACTCAAAGGATTGTAAATTTTAGGAATTATCTATCCCAAATGGTGTGGGTGCTAAGTCAATAATTACATTCAAAATTGAAACTGATCTATTTTGAGGGACTTGGTATATGGGGATTGGGCAGGAAACCTCGTATTGAAAGGTGATGCATATTGGAGGGGACATAGGGCCTCTTCGTACTCCTGTTGCTTTTACTTGGAGTTAATAAGTAGATCTTTCCAGATGCTGGTACATTGGTGACCAGACAATACAGATTGCTGAAGATTGTTTGATGCCGGTTAGGCAACATATATGAAGACAGTAGGGCTGATGAAAGGTCATCAATCTGAAAAACTTAGCCCTCTCTCCTCAGATTTAAGGTGATTGACAAGAAAACTAAAAGCAACTGTGGTGAAAATTGTTTTATGTTTTGAATGGTTACGATTTTGAGTACACTGCCTTTGGATTGATGGACGCAGATGCAAAAGTAGTAGCTTTCAAAATGCAGTTGGATAAATACTTGAAGGAAATAAAATTATGGGGAAGGAGCCAGGTAGTGGACTAACTGGATTGCTCTTTGCAGGAACTGGCTTGATGAGCCACTTGGCCATCTCCTGTATTACACTATTCTGTAATTCTGTGTTCCTCAGCTCTCCACATCTCAGAATAGAAAAGCAAGCAACTCTTGGGGTATTATTTTTGTATTATGCAAGCTTCACTTGATTTCATTTTGTTTTATGAAATTTGCTTTAAAATTATAGTCTGATGGGTATTCTGAGCTTAATAATGTACTTTAGAAGCCGAGTGCTATACATAATTATCTTCCCTTTCCCTTTCCCTTTCCCTTTCCCTCCCCTCCCTGAAATTTTCCTGAATTCCTATTGAGAACCTTACCACAGTTCTTGATGATCTTGTTTGCCCACATCACTCTCAACCCTGATATTTTATGATAACCAGTTAAAAGTCTCATCACATGCAGCCGTGTACAGTTCCTTAAGCTGGATCTTCTACTTCTAGGAACTTGCTAAGGTGGCCACAGAGTCTATAAGCACCAGTCATGGAAATGCGCAATTTGATTTAAAAAGAACAGCCAGCTCCCGTAAGTAAACCCAGTTTGTGGAATTTTTATTTTGTAAACAGTGGATAAAATTAAAAATTGTAATTTTATTTAGTTGTGCTCTTACTGAAGTAGTTTATTGTAGCCTATTTAAGCATTTTTTTTAAAAAAACCAGTTAACTATATTAACGTGTAGCTTTAAACTGAGACAATTCTTGTGCTGTGTATACCACACCCCAGTTTTACTGCAATTCTGGTCTCTAGTTACCATGTGCTTTGCCTGGGCATCAGGACCGGAGAGAGCTCCACAGTAAATTTCATCATAGAGCTACACTCTTCCCCCAGTAAATTTGGAAGAGCTTTGAAAACAAACTGGAGTAATGTTCCAGTACAGAGTCCATCTCGTGCAAGTTCATCTTCCTGAAGTGGATCAAAAGAAAACATTACGATTAGTTATTTTTAAACTGCTGACTCTGTTGTGTAACATCGAGATAAAATATCTCTAATAATGTAACAGGTAGACATATCCTGATTTTTATTTAAAAAGACTTAGTTTAACTAGTAGCTGCTCATATTCTAGTCTGTACACAATGTAATTTCAAACTCTTCGAATACTAAAACTTGTGAATAATAATCTTGTTAGATGTTCACTGCTTCAACTATAATAGAGTTGTGAGGAGTTATGAATGGGCTTTGCCGGGAGGAGTGAGATGGATCTTGAATAAAGTCTGAGAAGGCTCCTTTAGGTTATAATGTTCTCTCCATTTATGAAACTAAAGAATAGCTCCTGTATTTCTTTCAATCTTTCTGTAGAAATGATAATTTTGTTGCCAGAATTATATGAGGTTCCTCCACTTTGTGCTCCTCATACTCAGGTCACTGTCTCACACTGCCTGTTCACTCTATTGACATGATCAGTAAGGAGTTTGCCTCCATTCTAAGGCTTCATCATATTGAGATGCTGTAAAGCCTTCTAACTGATTGTGAAATGTGCATCTGCAGCCAGTGGCTTAGGTTATCGCAGCTCTTGGGGCTGTGTGAAGCTGTTGTGGTTTACTATGTAACCACATTACTTGGCCCAGCTCTGTTCCCAGTTAGCTTGGGACCTAATGTTGCAGTTTACTATGGAGCCAGTTTGGGTCATGCAAGGATGAATGTGTTGCATGCAAAGAGGATGATTTGCCTTTAGCATCTCTCGCAGACTGTAATATAATGGCATTTCAATACAAACATCCAACAAAATCGTTGTGAGTCAGTTAGTTTGTAGATTGGTTGAGGACTGCTTCAAACATAGTGTGCTCCCCATTCCACTTCTTTTCGCTTTAATCCTAAACACCAGCTATTGAAACCTCAGAGGTGGGGCAAGGGCAAATGGTGCTTGTCAGTTTATGATGAATCTTGGGGAGCTTAATCCAACACTGCTGCAGGAAGCATCCCTGTGAACAGACCTTGCATCAATGAAAAACAGAAGTTCTTTATTCTTTACAACATTTTAGGAGTGATTTTAAAGCAGGATGTTTAGTTTCTTCCATTAAGTTGAATTTAATTTAAGTGAAACAAGCTACCTCGTTCATGTGACACTGAAGAAATGGGCATTGATTCCCTATCAAAGGTTGTTTCTACTCCTGTAATTAAATTAATTTGTGTATGGGTGTGTGCTATACGCATATGTCCTCTCTCATTTTCTTCCCTGATTCAGCTGCCTCTAGAATGATTGCTAACAGTTTGAGCAGAGAATCCCCACCTTCTACCCCTATCCGGAGACCTGAAACAAGCACTTCCAAGATATCCGTCACTGTGGCCAACAAACTGGCCACAAAGAAAGCAGGTATGAAAGGGAAATGAGACCTCTTGAAAATCGGTCACCATTTTCCTGTTACCTTAAAGCATGAAGCTTGAGGTCGTACACCCTATGTAATGCATGTCTAGAGTTTGTTTTATTTACATTTCTTTCAACCACTCCCAAGATTTTAGATTCTCTTTCCATTCCTGGATGTATACATGTTATAAAATTTGAGGTAAGGCAGAAAATAGATCTCACTGCCACGATGATCATCCACAATTACTTCATCATTGTTTTCCTTTGCTTCCTAAGGGCACGCAGGGGTGTGAGGATTTGGTTCCAAGTTGGACTGTTGTTCCACAGGTTCAGGCAGCTCTGTAGTACCTCACCTTAACTGAAGCCAAAACAATGATTTTTCAGTGGCTTATTTGAGTGAGAGAGGGAATCATTCACTGCTAAACCCATTCCTACCTTCATCCACACCCAGATGCATCCGCTTTCCAACAAATGTCATGGGATAGCAAAAAAGGTTTGGGAACTTTGGCAGCTCCTTTTCTGCTCCAGACTGGAATATTGCGAAATAACCATGGTATCCCAGCCACCGTCCTTGGTCCTGTCAGCTGTCTGAGAGTCACTGATCAGGCCAACTGAATGGTGAGTTTATCCTTAGGGGACTCTAGAAAGAAGTTTTTCATTGCACAGAGACATGATGACAATTTATAGTCCTGTCTTCCCTGTCCCACAGTTCCTTCAGTTAATATTTGACAGGTACAAGTATGAGATTGGATTTAGATTCCTAACTAATTATGTCATCGGCTGTATTTTCAGGCTGCATGTTTCGTTGGCCTTAAAACAAGACCTGCAAAATGTAACCTTGACAGTGAAACACAGGAAAGAAATCCCCTAATTGATTACAGAAAAATAGTGCTTTCTAACCTTCTGCTAAAGAATTTTACCAGTAGAATATATTTACTTTCTCTATGCTGTGGTTGGGAACAATGAAATGGGCCATGCTGACAGCTTGTATATTCTGCATGTGGCTGGAGAAGATACTGACTCAAACAGGGGTATTGTATCATGAAGAAAAAGCAATGATGTCCATCCACAGTCATTGGCATTACCTTTGAGTTACCGTTTACAGTTTATTGTTAATTGAGATTTGTGTTTGCATTGAAAAATGGAAATTATTCAATTTTATTTCAGCAAATACACCTGACCATTCATGTTAAAAAAAATTGAATTATTAGATCATTTGAATTATTGCATCAATTTTGAATTAACAATAACCTGTAGCAGAAAGGCTGGGGTCCTCAAAAGTTGATAAGGGATGTTGTTTAAGGCTTCTGTGCTGTTCCTGCATACCTTAAATTGCCGTTTTGTTATTCAGTTCTCTCTCGACCAGCCGATCCAGGTCCTGAAACCTCTGCAAAGCGACGCCGTGTGACTGCAGAAATGGAAGGTAAATACATAATCAATATGCCAAAAGGAACAACTGCAAAAACTAAGAAAATCCTGGAACAGCAAGCCTCGAAAGGTACAGTGATCACACAGTGCTTACTGTTCGGTGACTGCTGCATGCTAACACAGCAAGTATTCCTTATTTTGTAGTGCAGATTGAGCATGTAAATATCTTAAACTACTAAACAGGGCTACCAGTTTTTGCTTCAACCCTAATATTACTGATTCTTGTACTCTGGAGACTTGCAGCTGTTATTTTAGGCACTAGAAAGCTTCAAATTCTCAAGGTACTAATACTTCTAATTGAAACAAATCCTAACCTTCAGATACATCACTGTCTCTCCTATGTTTTGAGATGACTGATCTGATGCCAGTATTGTAAATGTTTGCTCTTGTTCTAACTTCAGGTTTGCCAAGAATGTCTGTTTTTGATAGACTTGGCGCAGAAGCAAAAGCAGACACCACGACTGGGAGCAAGGTGAGGCCTGAATGAGATGCAGTTTATTCTTTGTAAAAAGCAGATTGCTTGTTTCTTTGGTGAGCGAGTCAGATAGCATATTGAAACCTAGACATTGAATTCAAATCGCCCTGTAGCTAGTTGAAAAATTGAATTGCTAGCACCAGGAGGAAAATGACCTCATTGGTTCAATAAATAACTTTGGAGAAGGAAACCTACTCATTCTGTTCCACCTAGTCCACATATGACTGTCCTTCCATACTATGTACTTGATTTCTAACACCTAGCAAGCCACTTAGTTGGAGAAAGAGTTGCAACTAGTGGAGATGATGGTATAGTAATGTCACTGGATTAGTAATTCAGAACCCTAGGCTAATGTTCTGGGAACATGGGTTCAAGCAGCAGTTGGTGGTAAATAAGTCTGAAATATAAAGCTAGTCTCCGTGATGGTGAGTATGAAAACTATTATTGCTGTAAAGCTCATGTCTTTGGAGGACGGAAATCTGCCATCCTTATCTGGTCTGGCCTACATGTGACTGCAGAACCACAGCAATGTGGGGTTTGATTCTTAACTGCCCTCTGAAATGGTCTAACAAGTTACATAGTTCAAAGGCAATTAGGGATAGGCAACAAGTGCTGACCTTGCCCCTGATACCTGCATCCCATGAAAGAATAAAGAGAAAGGAAGACAACCATCAAGACATCTATAAACATAGGAGCTGGCAGATACCAACCAGCTTGTGAGCCTGTCCTGTTATTTAATGAGATTATGACTGATCTGAATCAATCTACTATATGTCCATACTCTTCTACACTTCTTGTATCAAAAATCTATCTCAGATTCAAAATGCTATTTAAACTGATCTTGCTAGTGTTGTGTGTCTTGAACTGGGTCGTGGTGGCATTGTGGTTATTCTGCTGGATTAATAATCCTGAGAAATGAGTTCAAATCCCACCAGTCCTCTGATACTATGGTTAACTTGAAATTGCCCTTTGAAATGACCTAACATTGTATTCAAGAATATGGCTCACCAGTTCTTAAGGGATTAGGGATGGTGAATTAAACATCTTTTTTTAATTAAACAAAACTTCTTTGCTTTTGTGATGTAGGAAGTCATCAACAGTGTTATCAAGCAAAACATGCTCAAAAATAACCTGGTGTTATCAATGGTTTGTTTGGGTTTGGCTAGGGCCACTGATACCAAGAACTGGACCCTCAATAAGATATTAAGTGCAACAAGCTTTAGGTATAATTCATGTGCTATATTTAAGCAGTATTAAAAATCTAAACAAAAAATCACTGTAATGGGTTAGACATATTTTCAAAGCCAAGATTTCACAGTGATTATGATATTATGAGCGGTTATCATGTCTAAAATTAATAAATGAAGAAAATGTGTTTAACTAAAGGAATAAACTGCTGAATCTCCTGAAGTTTTCCAAAGTTAGGGAGATCCAAATTGAGCAAAAGTCTATTTTGACTTGATGCAGTTGTGCTGTTATGGATTAATTACATCTGTGACTATGATTCTGAGAATTTAAATCTCAGCTGCTTTTATTCACTTCACATGGAACCCTACTCACCAGTCATCACATTCTTAATGAACTGTAATATCTTATTTTTAAATTGATCACTTTTGCTGTTTAATCCTTTCGTGGCTTCATTTCTCCATACCCCTATCTTCTTTCTCCCTCCCTGAACTCTCTAACTCCAGGCTTGCTCACATACCCTCCCACTTTGCCACTTTATAAAACATTAGTTTGACTCAGCTGGAATATTGTGTCCAGTTCTGGGCACATATGTCAGAGCTTCTCAAATTCTCTCACCATTGCTCAACCTTCCTCTCCTCTGTTATGACCCTCTTTGAAATATATTTATTGTGGCCAACCCTTTGGTAACCTCTATCCCCATTTGACTCAGCATCCATTTTCTCATCCTGATGCCTTTGACATACCTGGGGATGTTTTTCTAAAGAAAGAAAGCCTTGCATATAACACTTCAAGACGCCCCAGAATTTACACCAAATGAAGTACTTTAGAAGTGTAGTTAGTGACTGTGTAAAATGGGAATCATGGTATCCAATTTGCACACTGCAATCTCTGACAACAACAATATGTTAATGACCAGGTAATCTCCCTCTCCAGTGATGTTGATTGCTACTTAAATCTATGTATAATTCAAAACAAAATGCTGGAAATGTAACTGGCAGAAGTTGAAGATTTGATCGTTTATATGAACTTTAAAGGACTGAGGAGGTGGGAAGGAAAATAAAGAAGATCTGGGGCAGGATGAAGCAAAAGTGTAATTAAATTAATAAAGGAGTAATGATGTAAGGCAAGCTGTGGAGAGTTTGTGGAAACCAAACGTGGTTATCCAGTGGATTTGTAAATCATAACAGCAGAATTATAAAATGGTGGACTGAAAGTAGCGTGGATCTTGCAGCTGCTCCTGAGATTCAGGCTTATTTCTAGATTTACTTCTAGATTTCTTACAGTTATTACATTTCAGTAGTATAAGGTTTTATTTTGATTCAGCTTTTAAAACACATTTAGGTAAATACTTGAATAAGAAGTGTTTGGAGCAAATGGGCCAAACGCAAGCAGGTGGGACCAGTTTATTTTGGAATTATGGTCGGCATGGACTGGTTGGACCGAAGGATTTGTTCATGATATATGACTATGTAACTCTATAACTTAGTCACAAAGAGTTTGTTCTTGTGTTCAGTCTCTGGAAGAAAGGAATTGAGAAGCTTCCCTGTAAGGTAGGAATGTTAAAGAGAGATTTGAGGGATAGCCGCCTTCTCTCTTGAGAAATGGCTCGTGGTAATGTGACCACAGTTTTAACAAAACACATTGTACAGCACATCAGGGAGGAAGAAGACCCACAAGTTAAGGGAAGAACCAAAGTAGTGTAGTAAAGGTTCATCAGATTGATTTCTGGGGTAGCAGGATTGGTCTATGAGTAGAGATCAGATTGACTGTGTCTGTATTAACTGGATTTTAGAAAAATGAGAGGGATCTCATTTAAACATCTAAAATTCAGACAGGGCTGGACAGACTGGATGCAAGGATGATGTTTCCCTTACTGGGGAGTCTAGAACAAGGGGTCATAGTCACAGGACATGGAGTAGATCATTTAGGACTAAGAGGAGAACTTTCTTCACTCTGAGGACGGTGAACGTGGTGAATTCTTGACCACATAAGATAGTGGAGACCAAGTCACTGAATAAATTTAAGAAATAGATATATAGATTTCTAAACAGTATAGGCATATGGAGAGCGCAGTAGTATGTCATTCAGATAGAGGATCACATGCCGAATGGTGGAAATGGCTCAATGGACTGAGTGGCCTGCTATGGCCCGTATTTTCTATGTTTTGAAGTGAATTACTGGCGAGCAAGGGTGTAACAGACATGAAAGAGTGGGTGGATAGAATTTATTTCACAGCTGGAGTACTGTAACTGCAAAGCTTGGGCTAATTAATTATAGTTACTAAGTCGTAAATCACATCAGAATTCAAATTGGTGAACAGTACAAAAGCACTCTTCATGGCTTTCTTTTGGTTGTTTCACACAGGGCGATAATGTTTCTTTTCTTCCAACCGAAATTAATTTGTCAGTCATCAGATACATTAATTTTATGGGTAGATAAATGAAGAATCAGATAGGTTAAAGCTTACTAGTATTGGATTGTGGTCGTGCATTCAGTAGACTGTTTTAGAAAGAATAGAATAGCCTTTATTGTCGCATGTACTCAACGAGTATAGTAAAAAGTTTATACGTCGCCAATTACAGCACCAACTTCGATACAAAAGTACCTAGGCACAGCTTCTTTAATTACAAAATTTTAGACAATACAGAAATAAAGTGTCCAGCATTACAGAAATAAAGTTCAGTACAGCAGACCACACTGTCACCTAACTTCCGGTCTGCACTGGGCCCTGGTTTCTTGTTTTCTTGCTGATCACATCATGTTGGACGGTATATATGGGATGAGGAGAAATTATTTCAAACAGTTGTGAAGTTTTGGAATTATCTACCCCTGAAGATTGTGGATGCTCCCGAAATTGAATATATTTAACACTGGGATTAATAGGTTTTTGGTCTCTCAAGGAATCAAAGAATATAGAAAGTGAATTGGAAAATGGAGTTGAATCCCAAGATCAGCCATGAATAGATTAAATGCTTGAGTAAACAACAGGCCACGCTGTCCACTCCTACTCCTGTTCCTATATTTCGTGTTTTTGTAAAAATTAAATGTTACTGTTTGGTCTAGCTGCAAATGGTAAAGAGATAATACTGGGAATGCACAGCTAGTCAATCAGTTTCTGCAAGTGCAAGACACAACAGCTTTAAGTGAAACCCTTTGTCTGAAGTAGTAAGAATTTTTCTGCAGAATCAAACTTGAAATGTTGGCTCCCTGTTTCCCATTCAGGGACTGACCAATCAGTATTTTGAGTTTGTTTGATAAACAGGACCGCAGATTCATACGACTGAGTCAGATTATTCAAGGCAGCTACTGGGTGGCTTTAAAATGAATTGAGAAGTGTGTTTGCAATTACATGCCACTTTTTGGGAGCTCTCCAATTTAGGAACTTCACTCATGAAATGTGGCTTTTGGTTGTGCTGGCTTTCATCCTTGAAGACATTCGTGCAGATTTTGGGAGCAGTTTCTTTTTCATTATTCACCAGAAGCTATATGTCTTCAGTTTCTGAATCAATATTCTCTTTATTAATGCACTGAAATCTCTACTGTATTTATAAGGTTGTTAAAAAAAGATTATTTTACATAAATTATGCTAGGTAATAAAAACAAAATGATACAGTAATTTGCAACAGTAATTCAGATTCCATGTTCAGCTGATGTTGTCAGGTTAGCCTGTTTGAATTACCAGTTTATAAGGAGACCAGGGGCTACCCTTCGATTGTCTGCACACTTTTTCAATATACATTCAAAGCAATGTGCATGTGACAAAGAATAAAACAGAATATAACACAAGCCAAGATGATGGGGCTAGAATGGTTGACAATAGTGTGTGTGGGCACAGTGCGCCTAAGTATAAGTTGCTGATTGACCTCTCAATTCATTGAGCCAGAACCACTATAAAAAATGATTATAAGAATAGTATAACAACTATTATTTTTTAACTAACACGAGTCCCACAAACCATTTTCTTTGAAATTGGTGTCTATTGTAACAGTATTTCTTTAAATTCCCATCTTATGTCATTGCATCCTTCCAGTGCCATGCTTCTAATGCATACCCATCTACTCCATTCATCCCTCTTCTGTCATTCCATGAACCCCATCCTTCTATCCCTTTTTTCCGAAGCTGCTGTGCATTTCGAAGCAGTTTTGAGAAGTTGCTGCAGCGATGATACGTACTGCCAACACTGTGCATTGATGGTGGGTGGAATGAATGTTGAAAGTGGTTGAAGGGATGCCAATCAAGCAATCTGCTTGGTCCTGGAAGTTGTTGAGCCTCTTGAATGTTTTTGGAGCTGCACTCACTCAGAAAAGTGGAGAGTATTCCATCACACTCCTGACTTGTGCCTCGTAGATAGCGGACAGGCTTTGAAGAGTTAGAAAGAGAATTACGTGCTGCAGAATTCCCAAATCCTGACCTCTTATAGTCGCAGCATTTAAATGGCTGGTCCTGTTCTGTTTCTGATCAGTTATATCCCCCAGAGCTGTTGATCGTTGGAATATTATTTCCCATTTTACTTTATCTGAATCTGTCATCATTTTGAATCCTTCCAGCAGATCTCCTCTTCATTTACTTTGTTCTAATGATTAGTCCTTCACCTCATAGTTAGAAAGTACACAGTGGTATCGGCAGATGGTGATTGTACTTGAAATCAAGCAGCTGATTTACCTTTACTGAAATTCTCCATCTCTTTTAGCCAACAGGAGTCTTCAGCCGTCTGGGTGAAGTTGTCAGTCAAAAGAAAGAGAGCAGTGATGAGGATGATGCCGGATCTGTGCTTCAGTATGCTGGAGTCTTGAAGAGAGCCCCAGCTGCAACCGCAAAGGAGACTACAAAGCTCACGCTTGCAACCACGGAGAAAATCTTAGCTGCCAAAGCCAAGAATACAGTTACCACAATAAGGCGGTTGTCGCTCCCTAAAGCCAGCAGCAGGACAGTCCCAAGCAGTGAGCCCACAGCAGCAGCATCCACACTCAGATTGCAGTCAGCGGCTAAAGCTAAGGTCAGTGTCAGACAGAGACTGGGGAAGCCTGGTGCCACCGAGGCAGACACACAGGACAACAAAGTCACCAGCACCAAAAGTCGAGGCAGCCCCGAGTTCACTGTGACCATTAAGAACACTGCACGGACTGCAGTTAGTACCAAAGTGACCAGCAGCACTGAAGGTCGACTTGCTCAGATGGACTCCACAGGAACTGTCAGTGTTTTTGAAAGGCTGGGGAAGAAGCTGAAGTAGTGAGATCTCACCAAGGCACACATATAACTCTATTTTTGTATCTACAAAAGGTGCCTCTTTAGTCATGGATAAACACCGCTTCTAACAATGACTGAAACACTGTGGTTTGAGTGATTCCCGAATACCTCTTTACATCCAAACAACATGGGATTAGGTGATAACGCAACACAAGAATCCTATTGAGACAGTAGTTGATGGGACAGAATTTTAATTGGCACAACAGTGATGTTGTGATATGTTAGGAAAGCTACTTTTTTGTTTGGTGGGTGGGTGGGTGGGAGGGATTTGAAGCTGGCCCCTTTAATGATCTGCTAAATTTGATGCAGAAATTATAATCCCAGTTACTGCTTGACGTAAGTTTCCTGTCATACCTAGTCATTGCCACTTTGCGATAGTTTAGTGAAGTATATCTGATCACAATCACAAAGTCAATGAGCTCTTGGGGATTTTAGATCTAATTGCTTTGCTTATGTTGGAGCTTCTTGTCCTCAATGGGTCTTTGTTGTATTGGGGTGTCTCAGCACTGAAGAACTGATGGATGCAAATCTACTTTAAAAATATTGCTTTCAAAAAAAGTTGATTTCACAAAAGTATTTTATGCATTTTGAGTGTTTTATATCTCCCTTCTATGTATGGACAGTTCCTTCCCAGCAGTTTGTTTTCCATAATTCCTAGAAAATATAAAATAATTTTAATTCTGCTCCTATTACCATAATTTGAGTTGGTGTGGTGGTTTTGATCTGGTCGCTGGTTTTTGATCTGGTTTAGCCAGTAAACAACAGTAAACCTGGGTAAACAAAGTAAGCTTTTTTTAAGTTTCTTGCTTTAGGTTCAATGAAATGGCCAGTTTCCAACATGATTGCCCATGTACCTTCAGGCAAATAAAACAATTTAAAAGTTATTTGGAAAACGGGATAGGATGTTATATCTGAAGTGGTCGTGGCAGTAGTAACAGCAAATAAACTCTTGACAATTGTACTTCTGCCATTTCAAGCCTGTCTGATGGCAGAGGATTAGTATTCAGGCCAGTACTGCATGTAATGCCATTTAGGTGCATGTGTACATTATATGTAGATGTCACCTTTCCTTGAGTTCTACTGTTTTCTTGAGTTTGGTTATTAGTTGCTGAAATGCCAAAAGCCTGGTTTTTAGTGTGTTTTTGGCTTTGGAGGAAAGAATCGTTATGGCTTTTGAATAGAATGGGTCCATGTGGATAAAATTATTGGCTTGTCTCTGTACATTGGAATCATTTTCTCAGAATAAGTTTTTCTTTCCCTCATTTTGGTACCTCGTTGACGCCCAACTTAGTTTTTACTGCTTAAAAATATCTTCTTAAAATCCAGATGGTGAACCATTTGTGCTGTTTATTTTTTCTGTCTGAGGCTGACTCGACCTCATAGTTTTGTTGTGTAGAGATCCAAGTGATCATTGTTGCTAGTGTGGCCATTTGATTTTTAACTTAAACCAGAAACAACTTTGGAAAAGCAGAGTTTCAGAATTTAAGAATAACCCTATTAATCCAGAGATTTCACCCTCAATCTACACCTTGTACAATTGTATCATCTTCCTCATCCAATTCAAGGAAACTGAATATTATAAGACCATAAGATATAGGAGAAGAATTAGGCCATTCAGCCCATCAAGTCTGCTTTACCATTCAATCATCTTGACCCCATTCTCATGCCTTCTCCCCCTAACTCTTGATCCCCTTGCTAGTTAAGAACTTATCTATGTATTTTAAATACACGCAATAACTTGGCCTCCACAGCCTTCTGTGGCAATGAGTTCCTGTGGCTGAAGAAATTCCTCCTTATCTCATGTCTAAAGGGTCATCCCTCATTCTGAGGCTGTGCTTTCAGCCCTGAGTCTCTCCTACTAGTGGAAACATCTTCTCCACATACACTGTATCCAAGCCTCTCAGTATTCTGCAAGTTTCAGTTGGATCCCCCTCATCCTTCTACACTCCAAGTAAAGACCCAGAGATTTATAGCATATCCCTTGCTTCACCAAACAGCTTATTGCTTACTGATGCTGTTCCTTATTTACTGTCACATTGACCATAGCTTGTGCTCTTGACAGGTAGTCATTTCCCCACTTAAAACATTCTGATTGCAAGCGCCTTAATATATTTTCATCCAAAGGAGTACAAGATTACCATTAGCCAATTCCACCTAGTTTTTGTTTATACATTTTATACCCAAGCATTCACAAAGCAGAAGGTCTGATAACGTGACAAAGGAGCCCTGTTGGCTCATCACCTTTTACAGTTTGCTGACTGTTCTTTGGTCTTACAGTCTTTTCCAGGTCTTTTCCAGGAACCAATCAACAGCACTCATTCACACAGTGTTTCTCATAAAGCAAGTCCCATCGTGCTTCACAGGAGCGTTATCAGAAATAGATTGATACTGAGTTACATTAGTTATTCAGATAGCTAACCAAAAGCTTTATTGAACTGTTGGGCTTTAAGGAAGAGGAAGGTAGCGAAGTTTAGGGGAAGAATTCCTGAACTTAAAGGTCTAGACAGCTGAAGACAAGCTGTCACTGACAGTTAATGTGCACCTGGATATTCCTGTACCCCTGCATTACTCCTTTTGTTAACTACATGCAGTTTTAGTGAAGACTGCCAAGGTACATCTTTGTTATGAGTACTTGTTTTGTTTTATATCAAATGTGCAAACAAGGCAAACTCTTGGAGCAATTAAAGAGAAGCTGCTGAACTTTGTTTTTTTTTGATTAATCTTAGTTGGTTCCCAATTTTCTGTTTGACACCTTTTGGGGAAACTTGATCCAAATGCGCTCATACATCAACTGTCCATGAGAGCCTCATCTTGATTGCAAATATTTAGAGATGGATGACCATAAACTACCGATTGAAGTTTTTAATTAATTGAAGTGATGCATTGTTCATGAATTAAAATATGAGATTTAATTTTAAATGAAATTAAAACCAGACGTGTGAAATTTTAATTCCTCAGGATTGAATCAACCTAGAATAGCATTTGTGGAATGGCTTCCATTTCTTCTCACTTGGATATTCAGTGCCTATTAGCCAAGGTGCATGTATTTAAAGGGTTTTGGACAGGGACTTGAAATTGGAATAAGTAGACAGCCATTAGCTCAGCTCACATCCATTAAAATGAAAGTTACAGGAGTATAACAGTATGAGAGAAACACGGAGCCAGATGTTCTCATAAAATGGCTAATAAACTCAGAAAAAAAGTAGGGTCAGTGACCATGGAACACCTTGTATTTGCCATGTGCCCTGCCCAATGACAGGCCCATTGTCTTCTGATGCTTCTTACTCGCATGATTTTTCTGGCAGTTTCTGTCACTGATGATTTGCCTTTCATACTCAAGGACAGGACAAGGAGGCAAGTTCCAAGTTTACCTCAGACAGAGCACAAGCTCTTGGCATTATCCTGAACCAAATGCTAGCCGTCTAGCTAATTCACCTGACCAGCTTTCATATTCCATTTGTGTCCAGGTACAAAGCCTAACTCAAATACTTGATAAAGAAACTGTAGCTCTGGACTTGACTCTCAAATGTTCATTTTTATCGACCAACATGTGACTTGGCAGTGTAAAAGTGCAAATGGTATATGTCAAAAAGGAGAAGAAATTCATTTGCAAGCCCAACAAAATGAGAATTTGATGCTTCCTATTGGCACTGGGTTCCATGACAGTATCTAAACTCACTTTAAACTATTTAAATAAAGACAAAAATACCATGGATGCTGAAAATATGAAACAAATGCAGAGAATACCAGAGAAACTCAGCAGGTCTGACAGCACCTGGGGAGAGTGAAACAAAGTTAGCATTTTGAATACAGTGTGACTGTTGAGAATTTCTTTAAGTGCTTTTCGAGCCCTCTTTTCACTAGGTAAGAACTGGGATAGGAATGGACAATTCAGCACCTCAATCCTGCTCTGCCATTTGATATGATCGCGGCTGATCTCACCTTGGCCTCAATTTCACTTTCCTGCGCACTCCCCATAACCCTTTGACCTGTTAGTAATTAAAAATCTGTCTGGCTCCTTAAATGTAGTGTCCCAGCATCCATCCCATTTGGGGTAGTGAATTTCACAGATTCATCATCCTTTGAGAGAAATAATTTTTCCTCATCTCTGTTTCAAATCTGCTACCTCTTAGCCTAAAACTATGACCTCTCATTCAAGATTTTCCCACATAAGGAAGCACCTTTATATGAAGTTGTGTGGAACTAGTGGCCTGGGAGTATGTTTCTTGGATGCTTCAGATCCCAGAGAAAACCCCAAAATGCCTTCACAGAGATCAGGTCGCCTTTAGCTTTACATCTTGCATAATCATACCTCATTACTAATCCTCAGATTTGAAGAAAATTGTTCCTTCTAAAAAGCACTAAAGACCTCGACCCCTCTTCAGAGATTGAGTCATTGTCTTCAAAAGATGACACAAGTTAACTGCTAAGCATATAAAAGCAAAGTCCTGGAGAAACTCAGCAGATCTGGCAGCATCTGTGGAGAGAGAAATAGAGTTTAAATTTCAAGTCTGAAGAAGAGTCAAATTAGACTCCAAGTTAACTCTGCCTTTCTCTGTCTACAGATGCAATCAGACCTGCTGAGTTTTTCACCACTTTGCTTTTATTGACTGCTAAGTAGTCAACTACCAGACTCCACATCATCAAGGAAAGGGAGGAATGTTGATGAGATGTATTTACATAATTAACATATTTTCCATTAAGCTGCTATTAAAAATAAATATATTTAAGATTTGTGAATAAATTATCAGGAAGATGTAGAAGTCTGATTCTGCTTGATTCTACCTTTAGTATTCCTGAGCTCTTGCGGTGCAGTGGTAGAGTCCCTGTCTCTGAGACCCTAGGTCTGGGTTCAAGTCCCACCTGCCCCAGAGTTGTGTGAGAAAATATCAGCAGAATTCCTGTCTCCACTGTCTACCTTGGGTTAGAGATAGTCGGTAACCTGATTATAACGCAGGCCGTGGTATGATCCACTAAACAATATTCCACTTCATGTTGTGTTGATTCTCAAATAGGATCTGAAAGGCACTGCCTGAGAATGTAGATTTAACTGTGGCTTTTAAAAATGAATGGGACTAATTATGTGAAGAAAACACTTGCAGGATTACAGGGAGGAGATGGGGTTTTGGGATTAACTGCTTTTGCAGAAAATCGGCATAGACAAGATGGTCTGGATGGTCTCCTGTGTTGTGACCATTCTATGCTTCTATAATTCCATTTAAATATTTGGATGATGTTAGAAATATCAATTTTAAAGAAAGACTTTGATTTATTATTGTCACGTGTACCTAGGTACAGTGATAAGTTTTGTTTTGCATGCAGTACAGAAAGATCATAATATACAATAGAATAGAATAGTCTTTATTGTCACATGCACTCAGATAAGTGCAGTGAAAAGTTTGTAATGTTGCCACTTTGGCACCATCTTAGGTATAGGTACCTAGGTACCTATATAGTTAGGTACCTTAAGTGTTTGTTACTAAATTAAAAGAGTAAAAAAAAGTTTAGCTTGGGAATACAAAACTTCTAAAAGTGCTCAAATTACTCAAAGGCCAGAATAAGAATAAAAAGTATCAAGTATTCAAATTATAGTCAAATTATAGTCCTTCTCACTGACTCTGTGTCTGCCAGGCTTCAGAACACGAGGCCTCGCTGCCTCCATGCGCTGGCCTTCGGTCGGGGACTCTCCTCCAGGACTCGCAAGATCACAGGGTGATAAATAGATCAAGGAATACAAAGTTACAGCTGCAAAGAAGATGCACAAAAAGCAAGATCAACATTAGATTCGAATTTGAGAGGTCCATTTGGTGGTCTAATGACAGCGGGGACGAGGCTGTTTTTGAACTTGTTGATAAGTGTGTTTAAGCTTTTGTATCTTCTGCCTGACAGAAGAAATTATAATTGGGAGAGGTCTTTGATCTTGCTGCCTCAGAAAGGTGGCCAATAAGTGTAGATGAAGTCAATGCATGGAAAGTTTAAAGTTTGATATATCTGCCTAATTAACAGGTATTAAAGACTCCAGAGATAGTAGGAACTGCAGATGCTGGAGAATCTGAGATAACAAGGTGTAGAGCTGGATGAACACAGCAG